AGAAGGACCGCAGGAGAACCTGAGGGAAAGGATGTCAGGGATGCTAAGGAGGTGGTTTCAGAGAGCAGGCAGTGGGCAGCAGCCTGAAATAGCACATCAGAGCAGTGGGGAGCAGTATGGAGTGTAGACTTGGCAATTTATAGGGGCTTCATCTAGGGGCATTGTCAGTCCAGGGGTGGAAATGTGCTGTGAGGGTGGGATGAGCATCGGGGTGGGTGGAGTAGCGTGTTGGCAGGAAAGACATTTCCTATCTGAGGTCCACAGCCTTCAGTTTCTTCAGTGAAATAACCAAGATTAAGAGGGAGATGTAAGCCGTGCACAGTAAATTAAGTCCTATGAAATAGATGTTGGGCTGCATTGGATTTTTAATGTGAGATAGACTGAAGTTCTGTTCAGTTAGTTCCTGAGCACTTACTCTGGGCTAGGCATACAGAGATAGCTGGGGCTTCCGTGTGGGCTGGGGAGAAAGACGCATAAAGAGTTAACATCACTGAATCACAGTAACTGCTGAGATTACAGAGAGCACCATGAGGCTGTGGGTTCCTGAGTGACTGCTTGATTCAAACCAGTCAAAGCTGTATTACAGGTTTCCAAGTCAACACCTTTGAGGTTACTGCACTAATAGCATGTCCCAGACAAGTGATAGCCCAGGCCTGAGAAGGTGACAAACCTCAGCCACTGTGTTACTTTTGGATCCATTGCATTTGCTGTTTTATAACTTCACTGTGCCTGTTTTTCCAGGCAGCCAGCTCCAATTCAAGGGTTCTGGATTGTCCCTGACATCCTGGGGCCCACGATGATCTGCATCACCAGTACCTACGAATGCCTCATAAGGCCTTTATTGTATGTACCATTTTGTATTCGCCACGCAACTTAATTCTGCAAAATCTAAACTGGGAAAATGCCCTTAGAAACCATCTTGAAGATGCTTGGATTATGCTTTGGCTTCTGACTTGAGGGTTTGAAAGGTAGATAGGATTAGTTTTAGGCATGATTTCTAGTACCTTCTTCGGCTAGCTGAGAGTCAAGAGCTTTATTTCAAAGTGTGGGGAAGCATACTAAAATTAAATACTGAACTCATACATGAATATGAATTATATTCAGTGATTATCATGCTCTATGTGTCAGGCTTAGAAATGAGGCAACTACCTGCATTGTCTCCTGTGACCAGAGCAACCCTGGGAGGACTACACTGTTATGCCCATCTTGTAAAAAAGGAAACAGGGCTTGAAAAGTTCAGTAAATGCTGAAGTAACACATTGAGCCAGGCTGCAAATAAATACAGGGCTTTCCGACTCCAAAGTCCATACTCATACTTTAATTTCTCCGTTTCTGCCAGGCTCAGAGAGAAGTCATAGAATATGTACACTCTGGAAGACAGGTGGTACACAGCTGAACTCGTAATCTTCCTCCTTAAGGAACTCACGTGAAGCTATAAGCTACAAGCACCGTTTTCTTTTCAGCGGCCCTGGAATGGCATTCTGGGTCTTATAAATGCAGGCACAGGAGTCCCTGGCAAGCCAGCGATGTTGAACTCTAGCACACACCCTGCCCCCCGGCTCTGGTGTCATTTCAAAGCATGAACTTCTAGGTACTGACAGTTCAAAATACTGCCATTAATTTACTATCCTTCAAGGAACTCTTCCCATGCTCTTTAAAGACTCACAAGTTACACTATTTGGAAAGGAAAAGAATTCACTATTAATTTTGTATTACACTAAAAGAAACTAAAAACTCTAGCAAGACTAAACAAGTAATACAATCACTGAAAAAAATTCCTTTTTGCCTTTTGCTTCAAGCGTATTTTTAAAAACCCATCCTACCTTTAGTGAAATAAGACCTACACATTAGGTTACTTTAGAAAACATGAATCCCAAAGAAAAAGGAAACTCTTAAATATTAGTTATATAAATATATTCAAATCATTTTCTGCTAATTCCCTGAAATACAAGTTGTCTGTAGTATGTTAACAAATTCTGATTATTGCATTCAAAGACTTACCATGCTGTTAACATTTGCAGTCTTCAAGCTTTCTGAAATTACCATTGTGAATATTTGTAATATCTGAGTGAATGTAATTTTTATAAATCAAGTTATATAGAGAGTACAGCATTTACAGTGGTTATCTGGGTGAATATTGGTTTTGATCAAATCCAAACTGTACCTAGGAAATGAGTGGTTGATTTATGTTTGTGACTGTGGCTTATACCTGGCCCTCAAGTCCTTGCAGAAGAGTCCATGATGAATTTATACTCTGTGCTGCCTTCACCTTTACATAAGGAATTTGGAGTGGCAGAGTCCAAAATGCTTTGACAAATGGTGGCATAGGTAGAATAGGGGATAGCTCCCTAAGGCGCCATCTTCAGGGCAGAAACATGCATCTTTACACTCTCACACAAGTGACACTCCATATTGCCTTGGGTTCTCAAGGTTCTGGACAGATTTGGCTTATGCTTTCTTGTGATACTTAGAGTAAATGACTCCGCAGTAGACTCTTGTTCTATTTATTTTGCAGAAGCACAGTCCATCCAGCATCTCCTCCCCTGCTTTGTACCCAAGATGATGTTGAAGTGGCAGAGTCTCCTCTCCGAATTCTAGCTGAAGCCCCGGATTCCTTTGAAAAGCATATAAGAAGCATTTTGCAACGTAGTGTTGCAAATCCAGCATTTTTGAAGTATGAGGTTTGGGTTATAGGTTTTAAGAACTAGTTCCCTTCTGTTTTCCCGATTACTGTTCATCCTTCCTGTCCTTGGCTGTTTATTTCATTTCACATACTTTTTACTATGTTGAAGTTAGAAGAAATATAGGGCACATTTAATCAGCTAGAGAATAAACATAGAGGCACTTGAGAATGGTCAACAGGAAGTACAAAAAGGAAACGAAGCAGCTATGACCTGAGTCTGTTTTTAGTTGATTTACTCAGCTAGCAAAAGTAATGGTAGAAACTTTGGTTTAAAGATCATCTGAAAAAGATACAGCCCCTCCTCCCGAAGAATGTCTTCAGCTCATCAGCAGAGCCACCCAGGTGTTCAGAGAACAGTACATTCTTAAACAGGACCTGGCCAAGGAGGAGATTCAGCGGAGGTAAGGGGGCCTTTGCTCACGTCCCATCAGCTCCTGGCTGGCAGCAAACACTGTGTAATGGCCTAGACCTTGCTTCCGATTAAGTTGGTTTTTCTTTTTTTTTCCTTTTGAAGGGTCAGATTACTAAGTGACCAAAAAAAGAAACAGCTGGATGATCTCAGTTATTGTCGAGAGGAAAGGTAAGTGCCAAAACTAGGGAGGGAAAAAACAGTTCGGTAAGACTGGAGCTGTATCTCAGTCTAGAACACTGGACCACTCACCTTTAGGGGGACCCCAAGTGTCTCGTTTCTTGTGCCATTAGGAAAAGTCTACGGGAAATGGCTGAGCGCTTAGCTGAGAAATATGAGGAAGCCAAGGAAAAACAAGAAGATATCACTAACAGGTCAGTGGGTTGTACAGCGTCCAGTTCCCCGCTCAGGTCCTGCTAGTGCTGCCCAGTGCTCAGAGAGCAGCAGCGTTAAGGAAAATGGCCTAGAGCACGTACGCCCAGGCCTGCGGATGGAGCTGGTTCCCCTGCCTCCCGAGGGGCAGCAGGGAAGACTGCGCAGTGGTGCTCCCCCAGCCCGTCCGGTGGGCCTCCTGCAGACCCCATTCATGGATTGGAGTGTTGGTTATAACTGTGTTTCTCCTGCATAGCAGAGATATTAAGCCGAGATATTTTCTTGCCTTTTCTAAAGGATGAAAAAAGTACTTCACAGTTTCCATTCTCAGCTCCCAGTTCTCTCAGATAGTGAGAGAGACATGAAGAAAGAACTACAGCTGATACCTGATCAACTTCGACATTTGGGCAATGCCATCAAACAGGTAGGAGTGGATGCCAGTGGCTAAATCTTGTCCTTGTGTTTGTTCTACAGAAAGTAACTTTATAAAATGTAGAGAGAAACTATGAACCTGTGGAATAAACCACAGCCAAAATGCCTGTGTTCTGTCTGGTACTTAAGGTTACCATGAAGAAAGACTACCAGCAGCGGAAGATGGAGAAGGTGCTGAGCCCCCAGAAACCCACCATCTCTCTCAGTGCCTACCAGCGGAAGTGCATCCAGTCCATCCTGAAGGAGGAGTAAGTAGGGCGGCCGCCCGTCTGGTACAGTGAGGGAGCTTTTCCTTTGCAATAGGCCAAAGTTAACCCCTGTCTGCCCAGCTGACATTAGTTGGCATTTGCCAGTCAAGTAATGACTGGAATAGAAGCCATGTGATAGATAAGAACCTGAGAGATGTCGACTTCATTGTGCTATGACTTTGTTGTGTGGCCAGGGCATCCCCAGTATGTTAAAAAGTATTGCCAGCAGTTGCAATACTCTTTGCCACCGTCAGCCTTAAATGAGCCGTAAACACCATTACTATCCATCTGAAACCTCACCCTGTTGTTCTAGCAAAGCCCCTCTCATTTCAGCATTACTGCCTAGTTTCAATTCTTAAGAATCAGCCTCAATGGCTTACTCATGTTATTTCCCCAAAAGTGAGTGACTGTGATTTTACAGGGGCGAGCACATAAGAGAAATGGTGAAGCAGATTAACGATATCCGGAATCATGTAAACTTCTGACCGCACCAGGAACAGATTCACACCTCAAGTTAACACAAGTGAAGGCTTGAGCTCAAACTGTAAAACAGGTAGCATCGTCTAATTTATAAAGAGGCATTTGGATGAGCTTTGGTGTGGTTCATCATTTTTTATACTTGTTTTATAATTATTGAATAAATGCTTTTATTTAAAAATTGGAATGTGCCTTATATATAAGCTCAAGTCGATGACTTTGTTAGCAGTGGCCTAGGATTATTTTTAAAAGCCCATGAACCCCGAGTTTTCTCCACAGTTGAACAAGATCAAGAGCTGCATTTTAAAGTACCAGCACCAGAAATGTGACTCTGACAAGGGACAGGACCTTGGGATTCAAAGGAAAAGGCTACACAGCATACTAGGCAGCAGCTTTTTAATTTGAACACTTTCTTCTTAAAGACACACCTTCAGTACAGTTAACAAAAAGTTACATCTGAAACCTGCGCAGAGCCAAGCCCAGGATCCACAACTGCAAGGCCACTGCTGGCTCACTTGGTCAGGCAGCATTATCTTTCAGAGCCGCGCCTGGCTGTACACTGTGTCCCAGAACGTGTTTCTGAGTGAGTACAAGGTACAAGTGTAGGACCTCAGAGGGGAAAAGAAACAACTTAGTATCAATATACGGCTTTGTTCTCAGTTAGCTTTCAGTAAACTTTTTATACCTGCCCATATGAGTTCTGAAAGGTAATACCATACCTGCCTAGAAACGGCACCTGCCTAGAAATGGTACCTGCCTAGAAATGGCTGAGTGGCTGCCAATTTAAAAGCCACATGGTAAGGTAGGTTACAGGTAGGAGGTAAATCATGTTAGACATGCGTGAGAAAATGTGTACAGACTTTAATACAAGCACAGGAACACTCGTGAAACCCAACTGATCTTTTCTTTTGTCCAGACAGGCTAAATCCTACCTTCTAAATCAGTTCCTGTTTATACAGAAAACCCAGATTAAAGCATTTCCTACCAGGATAGTGGCACAATGTTTGCTTCCTACCAGAAACAAATTGTTAACAAAACCGAAAGTAACAGTTTGGGTTTTTCTCAACAAAGTAGGTTCCAACAGCCTGCATCTGCCAAAGTAGAGACCACCAGTGGTCCACTCATCATGATTTTATTGGCCCAATACCATCTTATGGAGAAAAACGTCTGCAAGGTATCTCAGCAGAGCAGTCCCCAGGAGCCACAGTTTAGTTCAGGAAGACTATAAATTACCCACCCATCCTGATTTATAGTGCCAATTTTAATATTCTGAAATTAGCTCAGGGCTTGCCCAAGGAACTAGTCTTACACTTACATAACGAGGATGTTTCCTTTAAACCAAGTGGTACTTTATACAAAGGGGCTTTAAACCAAGTACAATGTTTCATGCATGGCAAGCCTATAGCACTATTTCCATAATTAGTATTTACTTTTAAATTCACAATCGTGAATGCAAGACTGCAAAATAACCCAAGGATGAGGTATGTAGTCCTTATCTTGTCCCATGGAAGACAGAAGTAAAGATCTTTAGGACTAGTCCATAATCACTTCATTTATAACAATGATGGTTCACTTTAAACTCTAAGTTGGTGGTAGCCTTAAATGAGCCACATAATCTACTTAACCCACTTAGTTACCATAAGGTTCCTTCAAGTACCCTGCTGTTACGTAACACCAATCACAAAAATTATTTGAAAACAGTATTACTTTTGAACCATCTCTCATGAATGAAACAGTGGAGGCTTCCACGGGCTAACAGTCCTGCAGCAGGTGAACACACTGCAACCATTCCTTCCCTGTGCTTTCTGCAACACTTCATACAGCTCCAGCAAAGGCAGCCTGTTCACTGACGCTTTCTTCACAAAGAAAAGGAACCTAACATCAGAAATGACGAAGCAGATTTCCAAACTGATGGACAGACTGACTGGGGTTTCCCCACTTCATACGCATCATCACACTCCAGGTCTAAATTATAAAGAAAAAGACAACAGGTATCTGTCAAACACAGTTACCACCACTTTTGTATTTGACACTTCTGAAACAGTACTTAGGTCCATTGATTCGAGTTAAAAGTAAGCAGCAGATTTTAAATTTATACTAGATGTTGTCAGACACAGCTTGTTTTGTTAACATTATCTTTTCCCACTGATCCAATAACTAAAAGTTTTCAAAAGTAGCTGGTACCAGTTCAGCTTGACCCTGGTTACTTATGGGCCCATGAAATTCATTCAGGTAGCAGAAAAAGTGCTTCCGAATAGTTTCTTGTGCTTCTCCTTTAACCTCAATTTCTAATACAGCCCGGTCACGTTTTCAAATTCTCATAATTCAGTTCTTGCACTGGCTTTGTTTGCCACATCTTCTGGTTCTCAGGCAAGTTTCAGTAGCATTTAAGGTCCTCCAATGAAAGATACAACAGTTTTTTTAAAAAAAAGCACTGGGCTAGGAAATGCAGTCACTAGCCAATGGCCTGCTCTCAAACTTCATATTTTAATATAAAATATTCATACAGCATACTACACATCTCGCTAGCTGAATACTGTTACTGATGTACTCTAGAGAACAGAAAAAAGTTATCTCCCAATATCTATGAACAGGAAATGTAATTCCAAACACTACTGGGTTGGTACTTTAGGGCAGGGAAACGTAGGATAAATAGGCAAGGAAACAGCACTTTCTCCATCTCCGAATCCAATCCCACATCCGCTGGAATCAAGTCTGGGGTCTCCTTAGTGTTCCCATTTGAAAGGTCTTTCTGCTGCAAATTAGCCTGGCTGTTTGCTGTTCCTGTGCTGCACATTCTTCTCCCTCTAGAAATACACATTTCTCCGGTCTTCCTTTTTTGTGACTTCTTCTTTAGTTAAGAGTTAAATAATTAATGTTGCTCTAAAGATGAGTTAAAAACCCAAAGTGCAGGCGAGAATCCTGCTACGAAGGTGTCATGTCTCAGGGAGCTGGTTAATGTCTGTCAGTTTGGTATCATTCAGAATTGCCCGGACTCTCTCCAAGGAGTCTGCTTGCCGGATCCGCTCTAACTGCACCTGGGGAAACAATACAGGGTAAGTGCTGGTGCGCCTGCCCGGGTTTCTGAAGATGGAGCAATTCCCAAAAGCTGCTCTGCAGCGGTGTAAGGTGCGGGCTATGGAAGTGAATGTGACCCGACCCCTGGCCCCTGAGATCCAGTTTAGCAGGGGGCTTGTAGAGGAGCCCCGCACATACACTGAATGTCACTGCAGGCACACTCTGGGGGCACGAGGTGGGTGGCGGACCACTGCAGCCAGCATGAGGCCCACAGAGGGCTCTGCGGGGAACAAAGCTAAGCTGGGCCTTAGCAGTTGGGCGATGAGGCGCAACGCTCACCAGGGCGACTGCCACGCCGTGGGAACAGAACCGCAAGGAGTTAAAATAACTGGAACCTGGGTCACAAAATGTAAGGCAAAGAGGTGGGAAAATGTGGGGCTAGGCCTGGTTGGGAAGGGTCTTACCTGGGATGCCTAGGACTTGACACTTAAGGACCAACAAGGCAGAGAGGAAAAGGAGCACAAGTCTGAGGGGGACGCCTGGGTTTTGGCTTGAATGACCAGGCAGGTGTTTGGGCTTCGGTAGCTACTGTCAGTGGTTGAGTCAAGGAGCAGTGAGTTCTCCAAGACCCCCTAAAGTGGCTTGGTGCTCTAAGGGTTCCCCAAATGCCTCACCTGAAGGGTCTGAGAAAGCTTCACAAAATCTCTCTGGACTTGTTCACTGACATCTAGTTCTGTCTGCAACCTCTGAGCCTTGTTCTTCTCTTCGAACATGAGCTGTTCAATGGTAACCTAGAAAATGCAAGTTCTGAATGAGAATTAATGCCTAAGAGCCTTAGGTCGAATCACTTAGGAGATCTAGGAACTTGTCTCTCCCAGTACTAGAGAAGGAAGGTGGGGATCCAGTCACCTGGGCTACTTATGTTCTAGGTCCCTGAGATGAAATGAATATGCAAGCCCACGTGACAATGGACTGAAGCGCCGCACGCAAGCAAGTTCGAGCACACAGCAGCCTGGAGACAGTGATTCATCAAGCAGCAGCTGCTAGGACGGTAGCTACTACAGCAATAGGGACAGGAACTGGGCACTTTCTCTGACAACCACAACAGTCAAGCATATGAGAATTCTCAGTGAATGTGCACCAGGCAACTCCGGCAGGACCCTGTGGCAGCATTTCTATAAACAAAAGACTATCAGATACCATGTACACAGTGTTTACGCTTAAAGGTCTGACCACACACACTTTCTAGGGAACCTCCCCCACAATTAACCACATGCACTTTTATTCTAACTGGAATCATCAAAATTTAGGCAGCAAATATGGTTCAATGCAGTGTTTGAGAAATCAAATGGGATGACCCTTGTGAGGCAGTGAGGGTCTAGCTATGGGCAGGGCCAAGTTTGCCTCATGGCCCTTTCAGCCCAACACCTAAAAAGCCAGCAAGCCTGTGACACAGGCCTCCAGAGCTGGCAATGTTAGATCTGACCCAACTCTGAGATCATTTCACTTTCTGCAAGCAGAGTCTTGACAACTTTCAAAGGGTGGCACTATTCAAAGCAGCAATATAGATGATAGATGACAGATACATACATACATACATACATACATACATACATATCTTTGTTGATTTCAGACAGGGAGAGAGAAACATCAATGATGAGAGTCATTGATCGGCTGCCTCCTGTACGGCCCCTGCTGGGGATCGAGCCTGAAACCCAGGCATGTGCCCTGACTGGGAATCCAACCTGGATTTTCTGGATCCCAGGTCGATGCTCAATCGCTGAGCCACACCCAGCCGGGCACAATATCTATTTTTTAAACAGGCAAGATGTGATCCTACATTCTCAGCACTGCTTTTTTATTAAATTACCAACAAAAATATCACCTTAGCAGTAGTCTCTTTTTTCAACTGTTCTTCCAAAGTGATTTTCATTTCTTGAAGGCTCTCAAGCTGTTGAGACTTCTCTCGTAATGTGGACTCCAACTGTGAAAGAAGGAAAAAGCTGAAGTCACAGAAACCCCCTGCAGGTCATGGCACACTGCCTGGAGCCTGTGGCCCAGAGAACAATACGCAAGTTCTCAGGTCCTCCTAGGCCTTGGACGTTGGGTTGGCTTTGCCTGTAATGCTCTTCTCACCCTTTGGGCTCTGTGAATCTTCTATTTACTCTTCAAGATCCATTTTCATTAAACATTTACTAGGCACCTACTATGTTCTAAGGCCGAGGGATGGAGAACTCAGTAGAGACTGACATGTAAGTAAATAATTCTGACATGTGAGCATGGAGGAAGAAGCATTTAATTCTGCCAGAAAAGTTGAGAAGGGCTTCCTTGAAGAGATGACATTTGACCTTAGATGAAAAATTTTACAGAAGGAAAAGCGTGGTAAGGGGGAGATGGCGGAGATACTCCAAAAAGAGGGATGAATGACATGAATAAAAAATGCGTTCAGGACTTGGCAAGTATTTACTGAGCTACAGCACAGAGTGCTGGGCCTTAGAGGCCAGGGCTGGAGAGGCAGTGATGAAGCTAAGTAATAAGGACTCGAGCCTGCCGAGAAGGGAACCACTGGAGGGCTTTTAACCAGGTTTGAGGACATAGTTACAACTTTTAGAGACCACCTTAGTTTATTATGAAGATGAACTGGAATGCGACTAATTTTGGAGCGGGGGAAGAAGTTAGGCTGTTGCAATAACACAGGTGAGAACTGCAGCCTGAACCCAAACAGCAGCAGGAGGGGAAAGGCTGGGACATGATCAGAGTGCTGGTAATTTCTGCCAGAGCACCCTTGACAGTACAGTGGAGGCAGAAGCCAAACTGTAACTGTTTAAGGAGTGACCAGGAGGTCAGGCAGTGGAGGTTACTTTTTCAAGAACCTTGGCTATAAAAGGAAGAAAGGTTGGTAACTTGAGAGAGAAGTGTAATTGAAAGAGAGACTTTTCTCCTCTTAACAGGAAACATCTGTGTAATGGAAAGACCAATAGCAAGGTAGAAGTCCAAGGCCCATGACTGAGGGGAAGACTGAGAGGATGTCTGAAAAAGATGTGAGGGATCCATTCGGTCAAAGCACAAGTGCTGTGAGAGAAGGCTGGTCAGAAACAGGTCATTTTCTTCAATTTTTTTAAATTCTCATTTTTATTCATTTGAGAGAGAGAGGAAGGGAGAAAGAGGGGAACATGGATCGGTTGCCTCCTTTATGTGCCCAGATGGGGACTGAACTGACAACTTAGGTATGTATCCTGACTGGGAATCAAACCTGAAACCTTTCTGGTGTATGGGATGACACTCCAACTAACTGAGCCACTGGGCTGGGCAGAAACAGGTCATTTTCTCTAAGAAACGGGAGAGAAAAGGTTGGAAAGAAAAGTAAGAGAACAAGGAATTGAGGGGCCAGGAAGCTGAAGGTGGCCCTGGGGATGGTGGGTAGACAACAACCATCTGAGTGAGGGGGTAACATGAGTGTGACTGTCTGACATAGCAACTGGGAGGGAGGGAAGGGAGACAGCTAAGGGCAAATGAAAGGCTGAGTAGCACTTGAGGCCCAACTGACGACATGAGCACGCAGTGTTCCTCATTCCAGCGGCATCAGCAGCATGGGTCAGAGAGAGAAGGTGCACTCCAGGATTAATCCAGGGCCGGGCAGTACCAAGTGAGGTTAGCAGAAAGACAAGAGGTCAGGGACCTGCAGGTGCCGAGGGAGACTAGCTGGAGCGAGCCATACAAGATGCAGCTCAGAGGGAAAGAGGCAAAGCGTTGAGGAAGTTGCTAAAACCAGGGGAAAGGAAAAGCTCAGGGAACTGAAGGTCTGAATGAGGTACCCCAGACAGGTGGACCCATGGGGTTAAGAGCTGGAAGGATAGTAAACGGCTCAGGGAATATGGGGCTGGAGTGAGATGTCAGAGGCGGCCTTGGTGCAGCCAAGACTGGGAAGGAAGGGGGTAGAGGCGAAGGTCACTGAGTCAACGAACAAGGAGGCCGGAGAGCCGAGTACGGTCATGTTGTCTCAGAGAAGAGGACTGTAAGCAGCTGGAAAACACCATCTCCTATTTGTAAAAGGTTTTGTACATATTTCTACTGTAACTTTAAGTGTACACCGTGTCACGACCATGCCTTGATGTCTTTCCACCACGGTGGAAACTCCAGGCTGCAACCACACCTTAGTCTTCCCTGTACCTCCTCTGGTCAACACGTAGCCCGACACAGAGCAGACGCTCAATAAACGGTCTCTACTATCATCACGCCCTATCCCACTGTATTTCTCCCACTAGACACAAGTTCCTTGAAGGCAGGGACATGTTGTAACTGTATTTTATTCCTTGGGTCTAGCACAATAGGATTCAATAAATAACTGCTGGTTGCTGATGGAATTTGAAACTCATGAAACTCACCTGTCCTTTTTCTATTTTTATTCTTTCTAATTCAGCTTTTAAGCTAGAAATGGAAGCTAGAAGAAACAAAGAGGGAGAAGTGTTAACATTCATTATTGTGAATTTAAATTTTTTCCTTACAACCCCCCCTTCAACCATAAATTTAATCTCATATAATGAAAGAAGTCAAATATATACTGAACATGGGAAAACCAACACCCCTTTCTCAAAATTACCCCCAACCAATCGGCATCACAATCAAGCTCAGGGAAAGGCAGAGTCCACATGAATGGATACTGTATCATCAACTCCCTCTACATCAAATATCCACACCTAACTCTGGGGTGTGGGGTGGAGGTATTCCCCCCAAGAGTCTGTTAACCCATCAAAGTTCTGCAAGGAAACGCCACTCATCTAGTCATGCCCCCCCCCACTCAGTGGTTTGGGTTCAAGTACTGACTTTCCTATCTTTTAGTAATTGCCCAAAAAGGCCTTTAGAGCTCCTAAAAAGATAGTGAAGTGTTTTGGTGGTGGTTGTTTTTTGGAAGGGGGGTTTACTCCAAATTACTGGATATTTCAGAACATCTGGGAAAATGGACTGAATCCTTACTTAACTCTTTCCTATACTTTTCTGTTTACCACATTCTATGACCATGTATTACTTCTTATAATCAGAAAAAAGTTTTATTTAGTGCCACCAATTCTAAACTACATCACTTTTATCTTCACCTATTTCTTCCTTGCAGTTTTCTATTTCTAACTGCAGAGTTTCTTCAAGGTTCTCTTTTAAACACTGTTCCGCTTGTATCTGCTCTTTTAGGAAAAGTATTTCAGCCTTCAGCTTTTCTTCCATGTGGTCTGCTGCTGTCCGCACATTAATAATGTTCTCACGGTATTTTAATACCAAGTCCCGGAGTTCCTGGATTCAAGAAACAAACGGTTATTGGGTTTGTGAGGGTGAAAGAAAATAAAAGAAACTAAAGATTTTCTGCAACTAGAATTTCAGATGTTGTTTTAAATGGTTTAAAAATTAAAAGACTGCCAAACTCCACCCCACTATGGGGCTTCAAGGGGCAGGCACCATGCATGTCATGTTAACATTCAGTATGTTATAGAAATAAGACATTTCCAGCCAATAAATATGCACTGTGAACTACATATTTTTCCTCAAAACTGTTTCATAAGCAGAAAAATGAAAATGTTAAGTGACTTACAACGTGGGATTCACCATGCTTCTACTCATCCTTGCTTAAATTTGAGGAGAGTTAGGGTACAAGGACTAAAAAGACAAGTTCAGAATGAAGTGGGAGCTCTAAGAAGATAAGATTTACTTATTTATTTATCCAACCACTTGCTGAACATCTACCACAAGCAAAGTACGCCCAGAGGCAAGTTAGGCAAAGAATGGCTTTCTAAGAGGATCAACTGTTTGCTATAATAAATTCAGCTTAAATCTTACTTTTTCCCTAAATTTTTAGAGAAACTGTCTTCTTTTAAGTCCTCCCAATTATATCCTAAGACAACTCTAAAGCAAAAACTGGGACTCTTAGATAACTAACAAATGTATATAAATTAAAGAGCAGCAGAAAAAAGTAAAAAACTGTAACAAATATTTTGTAAGATTTACTGCTGAAGCTGGTCTAAGAATCAAGGCTTATAGGCTACAATGGATACATCCTTCAAGACTTCTTGGATTTTTTTTTTAATTAGGAATAAAAGTTTCTAGAGAACATGGAAGAGAGGAATCTTTCTTGCCAAAAGAAAATTTTAACAGAGGTGTTAGGTGGTATGCTGATAGCAAAAGCAGACAGGCCCCCCCAAACTTTCTCCTTGATGAGCTCAGCCACCAGTTCAGAAAGGAGAGCACCATCCCAGAGAGTATCAGCAAACTAAGCTGAGACCACAAGCTGGGGCTTGGGGGGAATGAGAGGGAAAGCAAGGAGATAATGGCAAGGTAGGAAACGGAACCCGTGTGGATGAGTAAAATTAAAACCCAGAACAGCAGGAATGTGCATGTGTGTATGCAGGCAAAAGACACAATGCAGTCTAAATTGCGGTGGGTGTCAAAGTAGGATTAGGGAGAGCTGTTACAAAACTATAAATTTATGTAATGTTTGATTTGAAATAATTTTTAACAATTATAATTTTTACAAAAGAACAAAAGGATTTTATGAATAACATTCTTCTATTTTGTTCTGAAAACTGCTCTAAGAAATCTCATCTTTGCCTACACTATATATAGTGTTTACTTGAGTTTAGCATAAGATGAAATGTTTTTATACGTTAAAAGGTTTTTAAATATATGGGTAAACATGGAGTAAGTTAAGGAGACAGTTATGAATGTCTCCGGGAAATTTCTGGTTTTGCAGCTCAGGTTCACCCAACCACAGAATAATAATGGAAGTGACTAAGTGTCGGAAAGGTTACTGGAAGTCAGAAGAGGGGTGAGTATGGTACCCTCTTTTAAGTGCTGAACAGAAAAACATCACGAGGACCCAGCTCGGTGACCCCTACAAACATTTCATTTCTGGTGCAATCACAATCTGGTCCTGCAAGAATAATTTACAGGCCTTCGGTTTGACAAAGGATTCTTAGACATGACACTGACAGCATGAGCAACAGGAGAAAAAAACTAGGTAAATGGGACTGTATCAAAATTTAAAACTTTTGTGCTCAAAGAATACCATCAAGAAAGTAAAAAAGAATCCATGGAATGTGAGGAAATATCTGCAAACAGTAATCTACTTGACAAGGGACTTACATGGAGAATATATAAAGAGTTCTTTATAACTCAATAAAAAAAAATTTTAAATGAGCAAAGGATCTGAATATTTCTCCAGGGAAGATATACAAAGGGCCAATAAACACATGAAAAGATGCTCAACATCATTAGTCATTAGGGAAATGCAAATCAATGAGACCACTTCACACCCACTGGGATGGCTAGAATCAAAAAGTACAGCAAGTGGTGAGGATGTGGAGAAATCCTCCAATAATTAAACACCCAGTTCTCATGACCCAGCAATCCCATTCCTAGTTTATACCCAAGAGACATGAAAACACACGTCCACAAGTAAACCCACACGTGCATGTTTATAGCAGCATTATTCATAACAGTGCACAAGTGGAAACAACTCAAATGTCCATCACTAGACGAATAAAATATTCGGCCATAAAAAGGAATGAGGAACTGAAAAGTGCTACAACATCGACGAACCTTGAAAATAATATGCTATGTGAGAGAAGCCAGTCACAAAAGACTATAAACTGATTCCATTCTTGTGAAAGTCGAGAACAGGGCCATCTATAGACAGAAGTGGATTAGTAGTTGCTTAAGGCTATGGGGTGAAGGAATGAAGGGTAAGAAGTTTCTTTTTGAAGAATATGATGAACTAAATAGATCCAGAGACACTGACACATGCAACAGATGATCATTTTTCAGAGGAAAGAGGGAAGGAGGGTGTGAAGAGATTAACCAAAGAAGTTATATGCATATATGCATAACCCATGGACACAGTCAATAACAGGATGAAGGCCTGGGGAGGGGGTGGGAGCAAAGGGGAGGGGGTCAGTTGCAGGGGGAAATGGTATACCTGTAATACTCTCAACAATAAAGATAAATTTAAAAAGTAAAAAAAAAAAGAAGTTTCTTTTTGAGGCGATGAAAATGTTCTAAATTGATGGCTACAGATCTGAGAATATACTAAAGACCACTAAATTATACACTTTACATGGGTGAACTATTTGGTATGTCAATAATATATCAATAAAGCCTGTTTTTAAAGAAGAATTTATAGCCGTTTCAGAAAATGTAATTGTTTACGTTCTTAATCACGTGGAAAATAAGGTACCTCCATAGTGTCTGGGAGAATGAAATCTTCCGCTTGCTGTAAGGATACATGCAAGCTATGCTTTCCCTGAAGACTGTCATTATCTTTCTGTAACCTCACCAGCTCTTCTGAAACCTGTTCCCGTGACTGCATCAGCACTGCCTAAAATAGAAACAGATATTAATCACAGCCAGAAAGGTTAAATAAATCCTATTTGCTGATAGCTGCGCCAGAGAAACACAAGGCCAAACCAAATGAGGGCTGAGGATAGAGGGTACTTAAAGCCCTGCGGGACTTACAGACAGCTCAGAGACTGACTTGCAGCCTTCACGTGTACTGGAGGGACAGGCAACGAAGCAAGTTATTTGAGCTCGTTCTCCACTGCTTCTCCCAACAGCCTACAAGTAAGGAATCTCTTCCCCCATACCCTGGGACTACGCAGGAACAGTATCTCCAGCTCGACGGACGTGTCTGACACAATTAAGACACATCAGAGCAAACACTCCAAGACAACTCCCATTTCCTGACAGCGGGCCTTCAACAGGAAGCAGGGAGAAACAAAAAGCAGTGTCTTCCTTTTCCATTACACGTGCCTATGCTCAAGCTCAGGACCACTGCGAATGGCCCAAGAACCCCCAATATTAGACATCATCAGAGGATACATGTTTAGGAAATACAGAACCCTTGAGTAGCTCATTCTTAAAATGGAACAGGCACCTACTTCTCCTTGGTGATGTAGAAAACAATTTTAGGTACTTCATATGAATTTGTATCAATATGAAAGTTATTCCAACTAATTTGAATATAAGATAAAATTCTACAAAAGTATTTAATTTCTGCCGTTTTAGTACTAAGTCATTTAACTTAAACATACACATAAAAGTAGATTACTCACTCATCCAATATTCATTTAGCAGCTACTACTCTATGCTGGGCGTTTTGATGCCCACGAGGAATAAAAGACAGATGCCCTGGAGAAGCTCACAGTGCAGTGGAGGAAAAGATAAGTAAGCCAAAAATTACCAACTGTCCTACAAGTGCTAGGACAGAATGGGCAGAGCAGTGATAAAAGGACAAAGGGGACCTAATTAGGGGAAAGGGTTCAAGAACATTTCAGGAAGGTGAGCACTGCATCCTGAAGGACAAGCAGCTGCTGGCAAGCAGGCAGGGTCATGCATAAACTTTGGTTAATTCTACTGGCTCTTATTTATCTTTAAACCAGAATCAGTTGTGCTTTGTGCTCTTTCAACCCATTTACAACAAAATATTAGCATCTCATTACCTTTTAGATGAAAGAAGGGAAAGAAGAACATGTATGTATTTGCTAATTTTTGTAAAGAGAAAAAATCAAAAGATAAATTTAAATGATCGTGTATGGGAGGGGATGATAACGGGGTGGAAGAAATCAGGAAAGGAAGTGAAACTTCTGAATATTTATACATTTTTATCGTTTTGATTACGAACCCTATTGCATGTTCCAAAAAAAATTTAATTAAAAAAAATCCAAAAATGTAATACAAATAGAAACAAATGGAGCTAACCATATATCAAATTGATAACACAACCAGAGAGAAACATCAATTCAAGTAAATTTGGAACACAGTACCCAGACCGAAAACCCTTACCTGGGATATGTTCTAAGGGCAAAAAGAACTACAAAGAAATGCTGAACTTCACTTAGTAGGTTTGCTGTTGGTTGCAATACTGATGAAATTACTTTGTCCCCACCTTCACCAAGTGATCAAATTTAACATCACCAATAATGGAACCACCCATAATATGCATCTTGATGTTATAAACTTCCCATTAAATAATTTCATCTATGTAGTATTCTTGCCAAAATGTCTAACCTGGATAATCAGACAAATGCATTCTATAAGGCAACTGGATCCTAAAAAATATTAATGTCAAAAAAGAAAAAAAAAAAAAGTAGGTGACTGTTCTAGATTAAAAGACACAATAACAATAAAATACAATATGTGATGCTTGACTGGTTCCTCAATCAAAAAATTAAAATAAAAAAAAATTGAAGAACTTTTGAGGACAATGGTTACATTTTAAGAATATATGGCTGACACTGAACACAGGTTTGAACTGCACAGGTCCACTTACATGCAGACTTTTTTCAATAAATACATAGATTGCTGTAAATGTATCTTCTCTTTCTTATGATTTTCTTAATAATATTTTCTTCTAACTTTAAGAACACAGTATATAATGTATATAACATACAAAATATGTGTTAACTGTTGGTGTTACTGGGAAGGCTTCTGGTCAACAGTGGGCTATTAGCAGTTATGTTTTGGGGGAGTCAAAAGTTGTATGTGGATTTTCAACCTCTCTATAAGTTTGAAATTTTTCAAAATAAAAAATTAGAGGGAATGCCTGGCCAGCGTGGCTTAGTGGTTGAGTATCAACCAATAAACCCAGAGGTCACGGTTCGATTTCCGGTCAGGGCACATGCCCGGGTTTCGGGCTTGATCCCCAGTAGGGGAGCATGCAGGAGGCAGCCAATCAATGACTCTCTCATCATTGATGTTTCTATTTCTCCCTCTCCCTCCCTCTCTCTGAAATCAATAAAAACATTAAAAAATATATAGGGGGAAATATTAAGATCCCAACTACAATCATAGCTACTTTTATCTGAAGCAGCATAAGAAACTGAGTTTCTCAGTATGGTGATTACCAGAAGGAAGGAGGGATGAGGGGAGGTAGAAGAGGGTCAAGGGGGGATAAACAGTGATGGAAGGAGACTTGACTTGGGGTGGTGAACATATGACACAAGATACAGATGGTGTATTGTAGAATTGTACACCTGAAACCTATATTATTTTATTAACCAATGTCACCCCAATAAATTCAATAAAAAAGAAATTGAGTTTCTCTTTCTTATTCGGCATAAAAAACCTTTAAAGGTAATTTCAAGAAAATGGTAAGGTATTCAACCTTAATTTCAACAATTCTTCAATGTCACCTGCAACACATTCATTTTAAGTGGAGTCAACTTTGTAAAATAGCAAAAGCAGATGGGTTTTAGAAGACAATAAAGAAAAAGATGAAAGGGGACGGAAGAATTTAAGAAGGCTGACGCTATGGATCCTCGTCAGCATTTAACAGTGATTTTTATTTTATTTATTTTATTTATTTTAATTAAATATATCTTCATTGATTTCAGAGAGAGGAAAGGAGAGGGAGAGAGAGAGACAGAAACATCAGTGATTAGAGTCCTTGACCAGCTGCCTCCTGCACGCCCCGACTGGGGATCAAGCCCGAAACCCAGGCATGTGCCCTGACTGGGAACTGAACCCCGACTGCCTGGATCCTAAGTCAACGCTCAACGCTGACCCACCTCCAGCCGAGCTAACAGTGATTTTTAGATAAACAATTATTACTTCATATTGCCTAATTAATGAAAAAACATGAAACTCTTTCTGGTCAATGATTGGGATGAGACCTTTCCCAACAAACCAGGGCTATTATTTAGAGATCAGCTTAAAAGTCATTCTGACACTGACCCAATGCCAAACAAAAGACACCACTACCATGCAACCTGAGGCCTTCTTTTTGGTCATCCTGGAAGAGATGGACATGAGGCAGCTGTGCAGGACCATCCCAGCAGAACCAACTATGCTATCACTGACGAAGGGTCATGCAACGTGGGCTCCCAACTCTGAGAGGAAAGAATAGTAAAGCAAGCGGAGTCCAACTCCTGAGGAGGCCCAAACCTGGGCAACCAGTTTGCAGAGCTTCCAGCCAGCTCTTCTTCAGGTTCCCCAGTACCACGGCAGTACTTTTATCAGCATGTTTTATCATAACTCCTGGGCAATTAATGAGGTTATTTTTAAGTAAATTAGCTATCCAGAAAAAGCACGCTGCTTATAAACTGCACCTGCTAGGGCTTTGAGAAATTTCAATTTTTAATTTGTATGTGGAACAGAAAATTAAATGGTGATCCATCATTTATTTGGTTTAAGTTTCCCAAATCAGAAAAATAAATAAGTAGAAGATTAGAATGTTGGAGGGTCAGGAAGTAGGCTTAAAAAAGAAATGTCTTGCCCGGCCAGGCATGGCTCAGCGGTTGAGCATCGACCTAGGATCCAGGCGATGGGGTTTCGATTCCCAGTCAGGGCACATGCCCGGGTTGTGGGCTTCATCAATGACTCTCTCACATTGATGTTTCTATCTCTCTGTCTCCCTCTCCTTTCCTCTCTCTGAAATCAATAAAGATGTATT